GGAACTTGAGCCACTCAACTCTGGACTGACCAATAGCGAATTTCCATCAGAGCTAGGCTAGATGCTGATTGATTGGTCATATTTCACTCCCACACCGATACCCTAATTGTGAAAATTCTATAGACCGCTAAATCATCCGAGCTCGATATCAATGCTAAATGTTTACGAAGTCATGATAAGTACCATTTTCATTCCGCATGCTACTGCGCGCATTACGCGACAATCTTCAGCAAAACTGGACAACCTTTAGAAATCATCATCATGTAACATATCTTCCAAACAGAGAGTTTAGGTCACTTATTATTCAGGTATTAGGTCATTTGTCTGAGAAACTAACAGTGAAACTGTTGACAAACAAATGAGCCAATACCTAAACAGTTTCACTGTTAGTTTCTCAGACACGTGACCTAATATTCTGCAAGTTGTCCAGTTTCACTAAAGCCCACCATTTGATGCGCGCGGTTGCGTGCGGAGCTAAACTGGTGTTATTAGAATGACCTGAGGTTTCGCAAACTCTCCAGTTTCATTGCAGTCCACCATGGATGCGCGAAAAAGCGAAGCTGAGCTGGTATATTTATCACAACTCTGTAAACACCCAGCATTTTTCTTGAATCCTGATAATTTAGCGGTGAATAGATCGTTCGAAGATGCGAAATGGGCATCCATTTCCCTTGCCGTGCCTTCGATATGGACCGAGCTGAACGATTGAGAGATCTTTTTGCACATTGTTGACCAATAGCCACCATCACACCAGCAAGGGCCACGCTTTAATTGCTAACGTGTTCCAAGGGAAAGTTATAGTACGCACTCACAGCGGGTACCTCATCAAAACCATAATCGAAAGACGTTGCGCTTGGGGGCGGAGCACAGGCCGTGGCGGGCTGCGAAAGTGAATGGCAAGCTCGTGTACGCGGCAATTTGCGCACCTTTGGCCACAAAAACGCAAGATTTCGCTTCCTTTGATCCCTGACCACTGCTTCCACTGGTGCATGTACTTCCACGCTGCACACATACTTTATCGTAATCTCTCGCTTCAAACACTGTGACACTTAAGGTGGAACTGTGCGGTTGGAGAGCCCATTTTCACGAACGTGTCTCTCATTTGCTTAATTAAATTATGTTGTTCAGGTATCGGCCCCTCTGGGGAAGGCAGTGTGTTCCATAAAATACAGTTCATGCTTCTGTGTGACAATTCAGTAGATTATCTTGGAATATTCATTTTACTTAGGGTTTTAGCTGTGTGGCTTATAGCTATCTTTATTCACATTGCAGTTGCGCGACGAAGGCATAAAATTCGGTTACGTCGGGATCGAAACACCTGCGAATGTAACAAGTTTAGACGAGATTACGCAAGATCCCAAAAGTAGCGCTAATGAACAACATCACGGTAAGTTAGTGTTTGCTCCTGTGCTTCGCATCAACAACTTTAAACCGGTGATATTCAGAAGCTCAATCCTGAGGACATCGATCAAACAGTGGACTGGTTGCTTGATCTACTCAAAACTGCACCAGAGGGTACAACGAGGGGATCACGCCGTCACGGCATTGGAAAGGTCCACAAACCCCGTCAAAGCCGCCAATTTTTTCTGACACCCTCTTTATCTTAAAACGCGGTGGTCGTAACAAAGTCCAGAGGTGAGATCAAGCTCGCCTTTAAGTCAATCTGCCTCGAATATGGGAGTATGAAACTATCGACCAGAGAATGCGAACCCAGATACCAATGATCCATGGTTACAAATTATTTCTAACCTTTCAGGGCACATCTGGAGCTGGGAAGTCAATCGTCTTCCTACTAGACGCCTCATCAGCTGCTCTAGGACAGGGATGGAGGAATGTGAGTCTCTCCAAGTATTTTTTTTACTTTTGCAGACACATACTGTGGCGCTGCTAGCATGGAAAAAAAGCTGAGGTTCATCAGAGGTGATGGGTCAGCATAAAATACGAACATCTATACTTTGACGCATTTATTCATTTTGGTAGCATTGCTACGGTTTTGCATAACGTGTCGGAAAGTTTCCACGGCAAGATTGTAGGAGGGTTGACTTCTTGCAAGTCATCTTTCTAGTAGCAAATTATTATATATCTGTTGCGCAGAGGTTTTGAACGAAGCTGACCCCGCCTTCTTCAGCATCATTGTAACTTGCGCCCTGCCCAATTTTGTCCTTCGGGATTTTGCATCTCAAATATGTTAGTGGGGGTATTCGATTTTTGATTAGCCGCAAAAGCTTGAATTGTAAGCAGGGGGTAAACCGTCCGGCGTCACCATTTTGAAGCGCTGCCTAGGATCCTTGGAGGAATTTATTGCACACTAATCTGCTCGTGAAATAAATTTATTTATTTATGCACGCTAGGTGGCTATATTAATACATCTGTCAACATCAGGTGAAAATAGGGAACCAAAACATTGTGAGTGAAAGGGAGGCAGGCAGGCGAGATAGAGTGTTTCCAGGCACAGAATTTTGAAGTAAAGCGAGAGTGTCGATAAATGAATTAGGAATTCCTGTAGGCCCAATTGAAGTTGCGTCTCGAACAGAATGTGTTCAGTATTCGTCAGTCAATAGTTTAGAAGTCAATGGGCGGATAGCGCTAGGGATAACGCCACTCCTAGACGGGCACGATGCATACGCATGGAATCAGAAACTGAATTTTTTGCGATGTTAGGTATTTCCCTACGATTAAGTTCTGACGATCAAGATCATGTCCATTTGGAAAATGCGGTTGGTATGACTCAGGGAATTGTAGGTTCTCAGTGATTAAATAAATTAAATATGTTATATATATATATATCCTACTATATACAATCCGCTAGGCGGTAGTGTGTGTTTGGCTGTCTGACCGGGAATTCATATCTTCATATCTTCGTTCCCCTTGGACCCAGAGCGCTCGATTCTGGCTATTATAGCGGTAATGGACGAACCTTGATGGTAGGTGGCGGCCAAAGTGAATAAGAAAAAAAAAAAAAAACGAAAAAAAAAAAAAAAAAAAGAAACATACCGATAGAAGCTGAGATAACGGGCGTCAGAATGCCGATGTCACCAACTTCCTTACGCCGTTCGCGTTGGCAGTGGATTGCTAGCACTCATGAATATTGTGTAGGGTAGGACTGGGACCCAAATGGTGAGCGAAGGAAAGTGATAGCAAATGATAAGGGCTGATAAGGGGCATCGGAATGCTAACGTCGTCAGTTTCGCAACGCCCTTTGCGTTGACCCTAAGATGTTCGCACTCATGAATATTATGTGGGGTGAGGCAGGGACCAAGAAGGGTGATTGGAAGAAGGTGGTAGCAACTGATAAGAACTGATAAGGGGCGTCGAAGTGTGGATACCACAAGTTCCGTTGCCGATTTTGCAGTAACAGAGAACCTTGGCTCATAAAAGTGGCATGAGGGGGGGTGGACGGGGAACGAAAGTGCTTGATGCGACAGATACAGGTTGAATAGATAGTGCTTGATCGATGAAACTTTGAACAGTGGGATAGGAGTTAAGATCTGGTACCATTATTCGCTGTGGCCGGCGTGGCCCCGTAACACTAACTCTAACTTGGCATGGGCTGTGGACGGGAACACGATGGGATGACCGGTTTAGAAACTGATTACAATGATAGGACGATAGAGCGTTCGAATGCGATTTCCCAAGTTCGTTGAGCAGCCCTAGAAAACGATTCAAGGAGGAGGTGTTGATGGTGGGATGAAGAGTGGTAATTGGATCGTCACGATATGCTGAAGTTGGCGACGATCGTTGTGCACGTATTCAATGAACACGTTTCAGCAGTGAATATGTTCAATTCTTAACCTTTCGTCCAAAAAAGCAGAGGAACTTGAGCCACTCAACTCTGGACTGACCAATACCGAATTTCCAGCAGAGTTAGGCTAGATGCTGATTGATTGGTCATACTCACTCCCACACGTCCTGATCTGTGATTCTAGGGACGGAACCTTGAAATAATCGAGCTCCGGTATAATGCTAAATGTTACAAAGTCGGGATAAGTACCATTTTATTCCGCCATGCTATGCGCGCATTAGCGACGTCTCAGACAAACCTTTTTTCTTGTTTTTTTTTTTTTTTTTTTTTTTTTTTTTGTTCTCAAGGTAAAGATAGAAAACAATAATAACCGCTTTCTATAAATCAGGTTGACCTCTTGAATTCTTGAAACTTGTTCTGTGGGGGTTGTCTGGAGACTACAGTTATGGAATGGTGGAGAGGATGAACCTTAATCTCAGCGTTGACGCTAATCAAGACGAATCCGGAGGATCCAACCCAGAGTGCAAAATTTTGTCATTACGGGAATGGACGTCGAAACATTTCACCACGTTTCAGCCTTGAGCGACAACGAATCTCGATTTTTATTTCACATGAGAGTCCTTCCCTGCATCCTACTGGAAACTTCTCTTTTCTCTTCCCAAATGACTTCCCTTGTTACTTTGCCTTGGTGGTGAGATGTGTTGTTATGGGCCCACCTCGACTCAAATATGCACGATTCCGGTTCTGATTCATCGAGAAAAAAGCTTTTTTACCTCTGCTGCAGCGCTTCGTGTGCTCACATTCTTTGTCAAACACTCGATACCATCTTAATTTGCTACGTTGCAGCATTACGCTGTGATGAGTTCGCTAGCAGCGCTGCTTCCCGCCTCCCCTCGCTTGAGAAGCAAGACCGCTACCACCTGCGCTAAACGCTAACCGAACATTGTGGACTGGTCGGTTCTTCCTTTCGAGACTTTTATAATGGAGCTAACATGTGATTGCAGGCAAGACACTGAAAATCAAGGGCGGCAACAAAAACCCTCCGTAACTCCTTTCAGAGAAGAGTTCAGCAGATAATGAAAGCAGATTTGAGTTCAGCGTCTCATGCTGCGTACAGAAATGTGCACCTCATTTCATTTGGCCGGGTTGGCCTAATGACCTTACCTGGTTAGCTGATTATATGTAGTAGGATATAAATCTAAATGAAGAGTCCCATAAGTGAGCACAGCACAGAGTTGCGAAACAGACGTGCCATCATATGCCTCTATTGAAATTATTCGATTTGCAGATGGCTGAGATAGTGGTAAGAACTGTGAGTGGGTTGAAGAAGGCTAGAGTAGCAGCTGTGGCTATGAGCTGTCCATCAGAAATCATCTTGCACATGGATACCTACACTTCTGATCAATTAAGGTGACTCTATTTAATTGCATCACTAATCACAGTTGACATCAGAAATGGTAACCGGTAACCGGCAACCAAAAGTTCAATCCATTCTCCTCTTTTTATAGTAGCGTTTTTCCCTCACAGGCGCTTGTGGCTAACGCCTAATTATACTAGGTGCCACGCAACGCATGTCAGATATGAGTATTTCAGAGAAGGAGTCCCATCCATGTCATAATAATGATGCAATGCAGAATTTGTGTGTTCAGGAATCAATTGCTGGCGTATCATCCAGCTGGAGGGGAGATCGCTACAGCTCAAGCATACGGTCTCGCAAGAGATCTTCTCAATGTACGTAGAGTAAATAATTTGGACCAGTTGAACAAAATTAGGCGCGCAGTGGACTATTAAAGGAATCCTTCGCGGAAAATTCTTGCATTCTTTCTTACATGAATGTGTCAGTTGTGATCACTGGAAACAGCACACAAAGTTTCACGCATGAAGATTCGGTTTCCGAAGAGAAACAAACGTACAAAAACTACACTCTATGGACAATCGAAGGTAATTCGGGCGGAGCCAAAGGCGAGGCATGGAAAGAAGTTGGCCTTTGGCCGGCTACGTATCAGGCGACGCAATGAAAGAATCGGGTTAAAGCGCGCGATTTCGGAGAGTAGAGACAAATCGATCGATAGAATAGGATGGAGTAGAAGTGTAAGATGTGAATGCAATAAAGCAGAAGGCCAGAAAGAGTTCTAGTGAAGGCACTCCAAGAACCAAGTGGAAGCATCCCCGTCGCCAGCATTTGTGAAAGACGTGGGCAATTTGAACGCGTAGCAGCCTTTCGATTTTTCGAATTTTACCAAAACAAAAGCAATACTTTTGTTCTTTTCATTCTTATCGTGGATAATGTCTCAAGCCAGTGATTTATGGCTGAAATAGAACTTGATTTTTTCGTGAAGGATTCCTTCTCGTCTTCCGATGAAGTGTAGTACATTTTTCTATAAGATGTTCTATTTTTCGAATTCATTGAACATGGCATTCAGGCCGAGACCACTAAAGATAAGAGTGTGGTCGTGTTCTCAAATGGCCAAACTTCAACTTGTAACCAACCTTTGTTTGGAAATAAGGATGAATACGACATTGCCAAGAAGGTAATTCAGGCATAATCCTTTCACGATCTCGAACCTTTTTGTGGACGGATGGGTAGCACCATAAGTTTCCACCATTCTGAAATATATCAAATCCATTACTGTGGATTCTAGTAAGACACGTACACTTCCCTATAGAGCCTTCCTCACTCCATAAACTCACTGCCAAACTTGATGAAGAATCTTAGCATCAAAGCGAGAGATTACGATAACATCGGACTAGTCATGGTGGAAGTGGGGATGCTGAATAATGCCCCAGTGGCGAAAAAAGCAAAGAAATCCGTCAAGAAGGCGCAAAATGGGACCCTTTCTTTGCCCGTTGACCTCCGATAATGGACGAGCTAGCAACCAATTAGAGGTCTTTTGCACATGTTAACCGATAGCCACCATCATACCAGCAAAGGCCATGCTTTGATTGGTAACGCGTTCCATGGGAAAGTTATAGGATACGCACTCAAAGCGGAATACCTCATCAAAATGATAATCGAAGGACGCTGCTGCTGGGGGCGGAGCACAGGCCGTGGCGGAGCTCAGAAAGGAATGGCAAGCCTTGTACGCTGCAACTAGCGCACCTTTGACCACAAAAACGCAACATTTCGCTTCCCCTGACTACTGCTTCCAATGGTGCATGTACTTCCACGCTGCACACGCACTTTATCGTAATCTCTCGCTTCAAACACTGTGACACTTAAGGTGGAACTGTGCGGTTAGAGAGCCCATTTTCACGAACGTGTCTCTCATTTGCTCTAATTAAAATAGCTGTTCAAGGTATCAGCGCCCTTTCTGGGGAAGCTCGTGTGTAACAATGAAAATACAGTATCATCGCATTTGTGTTACAATTCAGTAGATTATCTTGGAATATTCATTTCACTAAGGGTTTTCCTGTGTGGCTTATAGCTATCTTTATTCACATTGCAGTTGCGCGACGGAGGCATAAAATTCGGTTACGTCGGGATCGAAACACCTGCGAATGTAACAAGTTTAGACGAGATTACGCAAGATCCCAAAAAAGTAGCGCTAATGAACAACATCACAGTAAGTTAGTATTTGCTCCTGTGCTTCGCATCAACAAGGTTTAAACCGGTGATATTCAGAAGCTCAATCCTGAGGACATCGATCAAACAGTGGACTGGTTGCTTGATCTACTCAAAACTGCACCAGAGGGTACAACCGAGGGAGTCACAGCAACGTCACCGGCATTGGAAAAGGTCACCACAAACCCCGTCAAGCCGCCAATTTCAGTCCCACAAAGCCCAGAGGTGAGATCAAGCTCAGCTTTAATTTAAATCTGCCTCGAAATATAGCCGGAGTAATGAAACTATCGACCAAGAGAATGCGCAACCAGATACCAATGATCCATGGTTACAAATTATTTCTAACCTTTCAGGGCACATCTGGAGCTGGGAAGTCAATCGTCTTCCTACTAGACGCCTCATCAGCTGCTTTAGGACAGGGATGGAGGAATGTGAGTCTCTCTAAGTATTTTTTACTTCTGCAGACACATACGGTGGCGCTGCTAGCATGGAAAAAAAGCTGAGGTTCATTAACGGTGATGGGCCAGCATAAAAGACGAACATCTATATTTCTGACGCATTTATTCATTTTGGTAGCATTGCTACGGGTTTGCATAACGTGTCGGAAAGTTTCCACGGCAAGATCTAGAGTTGCCCTTCCTTTGCAAGCTCATCTTTCTCGTAGCAACATTGAACTATATCTGTTGCGCAGAGGGTTTGAATGAAGCTGACCCCGCCTTCTTCAGCATCATTGTAACTTGCGCAGTGCCCAATTTTGTCCTTCGGGATTTTGCATCTCAAATATGTTAGTGGTGGTATTCGATTTTTGATTAGCCGCAAAAGCTTGAATTGTAAGCAGGGGGTAAACCATCCGTTTTGAACCATTTTGAAGCACTGCCTAGGGTCTGTTGTTGAGTTTTATTGCACCCTAATATGCTCGTGTCATGAACAAATCATCCTACTATATATAATTCGCTAAGTATGTCTGTGTGTGTGTGTGTGTGTGTGTTTGTCACGAAATTCATAGCTCGGGTCACAGCAACGATAGCGCCATGGTTCTTACATATGTTATAGGGGGTGGGATGGGGACACAAGTGGTACGTGATAGGAACTGATAACGACTGATAATAGCTGATAAGAGGGGCTAGAAAGCGAGCATCGCCAATTTCGTTTTGTCGTTCATATTGGTACTAGAGCGTCTATACTTACAAGTGTTATGTGGGGTGGTCCCGGGACATTGGTGGTACATGATGGAAGCGATAGCAACTGATAAGGGCTGATAAGGGGCGTCAGAACGCAAAAGTCGTCGATTCCGTTACCCAGCTCGCGTTGACACTAGAGCGTCCATACTTACAAGTGTTATGTGGGGTGGGACGGGGACATTGTTGGTGGGTGATGAAAGTGGTTACAACTGATAAGGGCTGATAAGGCGCGTCAGAACGCAAAAGTCGTCGATTCCGTTAGCTTGCGCTGACACTAGAGCGTCCCTACTTACAAATTCTATTTGTAGTGGTACGTGCACATTGTATCATTGTATGACCAGCTTACTTAATAGCAGTCGATTGCATAAACTCAATCAAGTCTTCAGCAAATGATAAGTTTCATTTCTATCAAGAAAGCCCAAACTCATTAAACCGCTAATCCTTTCGGGGTTCTAAATAATGGTGAATGTAAATAAATGATAAGCCTTAGCTCCTCACTTATGTAAATAGGCATATTTCATTTTCATTTTGAGACTGACAGCAATCCTATTCACCGCTAAATTATCTGAATTCAAGAAGAATGCTTCGTATTATATAAAG